ACAAAATTCTGAGACATGAATAAAAGATTTAACAAAATTCACATACATGTTCAACTCAAAAATGTAATCAAACAGACAAATAGGCTTATTCTAATATCCGACTAGGAATTTAAAAGTTTTAAATCCATTCGTTTCAATAGCTGCACAAAAGGGCCAGGTAAAAGTCTTCTAACGAAAGAGCATAGGAATAAACTAAAACCGCTTAGAAACAACAGACTTGATTATAAAACGTCCAGATAAAGATATAGATTTAGTGCTGTTAGACTGCAAGATCTGTATCGACGAAATAGCAAAGCTATTATCGGATGGCACCAGATTCTGTAAAACAACTAATGAGAAGGACAAGACTGAAATGATCGAAAAGCAGCTGAATGAAGAAAATGAGAAATGATCATATAATTAACGAAAATATCTGTGAGAGCATAAAACCAACAGGATCAATAATACCGCTACTATATGGTTCGCCTAAAGTAAACAAACATGTCCTACCTCTCCAAACAACTCTTGATATGTCCGGAACCCCTTATCGCAACATAGCAAAGTGTCTTTACATGATACTTTTGAACTCATAAAAGAAATGAATGTAAATGACAAACCTATCATCTCTCTTGATGTCGAATCACCATTCCCTAATGTTCCACTGACAGAGAACATCAGTTTTATATGCAAATGCATAAATAATAATGAGATCAATATCGAAATACTGAAAACCTATTTGAAAAAAACTACGATTACGATGCACTTAAATTGTACAATTTACATCGAATGACGTAATTCATAAGCAAGAGCATGGTATAACAAGAGGATATCCTCTTGTTCCACTACCGGCTTTATGGTCGGTTTAGAAAGCAACTAACTTAAGGCGATTAATGACAACTTCTACTTGCATAAAAGGCACTTGGATGATATTTTTATCATTTGTGACAACAAATATGACTTGAATTATCTTCTGAAAACATTTAATAACTGCCATTCAGAAATAAATTTCCCACTTGAAGTCGAGAACAAACAAAGGCGAAATGACAAGAAAACACGACGAAACTCTAAGAAGATCAATCTACAGGAAACTCTTGTAGAGTGGCCAGCTATCACGGTCCCATTAGTCAAAAGTGAAACTCGATCACACCACTCGCTAAGCGAATTTGTGGTCCCGAGGTCACAGATAACGAACTGAGCCTCTTGAAGAAAGTAGTTATCGAAAACGAATATCTTTCGATATTTATTGAAAAGAACATAAAACCCGGACCGCCTAAAGCACAAATAACCTCTGTTGAAAGGAAAACACTGTACGTGAACATCGATTTCCGGGGTGATAGAGTAACAGACATCCGAAAGAGGAGAATTTCTGATTCTCCAAAAAGAACTTGCTTCGCAACAACCTTGTGAATCGTATTCTCAAGCCGATCCATGTTCATTAATTATCTCATTTGATCAATTCTATGTGCATATATCAATTTACTTATTTATGTGGAACCAGGTATATATATCGTTGGAGCCCTACTTTATCCAAATGAATTCAAGAACATTACTCCGCTTGGCTAAAGAGACTGACACGGCTCAATAATCGAACCACTTGCTGTTATATCCCGATGAGAATAATGAATGGTAACTGTTGGAATCTATTTCTCGACTAATACTATACGTATATTTTTATTGTATAACTGTCAAGTAACTAAAATGTTCATATTCATGTTCCTCTTATTATAAGCTTAGTTTTGACGTATGAACTATTATTATACGTCTTACCGTTCATGAGTTACGCCTAGTCTATCAATTACTATCTCCCGCATTCACAGCCACTTTCGACTGAATCTTGTACAAATGTTGTTTCCTATTTTATGGTACAATGTGATCTGTTTGGATTGTATGTATACCCAGTATGTCTGCAATACATGATTCATATCACATAGGCTGAGATAGGTGTTCTGAACTGTTAGGGTATTCAGAAAATACCCTAGAAATTATCTAATGCTATTCCGGAGTAAGAAATAGTGTCATTTCCCCATTGGTCAATATTCTCCCAACGTGTCATTTCCCTATTGGTCAATATTCATTTGTGTCATTTCCTGGAGGTCAAATCTTGTACAAATGTTACTTTTTATTTTATGGTACGATGTAGTGTTTGTTTGGTATATAAACAGTGTATGTTTGAAATGTAATGATTCATACCTCCGAGGCTGAGATTTGTGTTCTGGACTCAACTGACTGGGCTAGACAGGGAAGCAGGGCCAATCAGAACTCTAGGTTGCTCTTATGTGTTTCATGTGTCTTTAGTCCGATCGATAATTCGCTGCTCTCTAATAGGCGGACTTCGCGTTATAACATGGACTTAACAGGCAGGGTTAGAAGGTAAGCAGGACCGGTAAAGACTGTAGACTGCTCAGTCAATAAATCATTGCTCTCTAATTGGCGGTTTGGAAAAAAATATTCAAACCGCCAGTTGGAGAGCAATGATTTATTGACCGAGCAGTCTAGGGTCTTTACTGGTCATCACTCTACATCAAATTCATTGACTACAAGAAAGTATTTGAATAGCGTGTACAGGACAACACCATGGAGGTTTCTTCGACACTACGGCGTGCCTGAGAAGATAGTCAATGTCATACGGAATTCCTATGACGGATTAAACTGCAAAGCCGTGCATGGAGGACAGCTCACAGACTCGTTCGAAGAAAAAGGATACAACACAGCATGCAACAATCCAATCATACTTTCTGAAAATATTTGGAATATGAAAATACATTTAAATATCTGGGCAACATCATTGATTAACACGGTGGATCTGATGCAGATGTGAAGGCGCGGATCAATATGGCAAGAGCAGCATATTTACAACTGAAGGATATCTGGAACTCAAAACAACTGTCAATCAACAACAAGGTCAGAATTTCCAATACAATACAATTTCGAAACTCTTCAAATATAAGTTACTTTGTATTATCCAAATCATTCACCATCTATGACTGACAGATAGATCGATAGCTCAATAAAATTACGAATTTGCATTCTATTACATTAAAAAACTGTTGTGGGTTTACCTAGTTACAGAAGTTGATTCTACATTTGTGCAAAAGCACTTTGGCCATTTTGCAGTGATGTTATATCATACCCATATGTTTGCGATTGCCTGTTATCAATTGCTTAGAAGGTTCTTGGGCATAGCAAGACACGAGAGAAATATAAATATCTGGTTGGTTATGATAAATTTTTGAAAAGACTATTATAGTAGATAATCAGAGTAGAAGAATTATTCCCATAAACCGATGGAGAATTTCAGATTTCATAAGACCAAGCAAAGCAATATAACTAGTGAATGTAAATAGCCATAGAGTGCTGAAATAATCTGAAACAGATACCCGATACATTCTGGTTATACATAGTATTTTAGTGATCATCGGAGACAGAAGTTTATTATCAGTACTATTATCATCCTGTAAAAATAAACCATAGTTGATCAATTTTCCCGACAAACACCACCATTTTTATCACGCATTAAAAGGAATCTATGAAAGTATACACATCAAAAATTATTTTAATTTCATTTATTATTTCTGAATTACAGATTATTACATTTTTATTTATTAACATGTTTATTTGATTTATGTGATCTTATTTAAGTTAATTGAAATCATAAACAGAGATTTACAATTACAAACTTACAACTATTAAATTATGCACTTAGTTACATTAGTACAATAAAAAAAAATGATTTACATCAATTATAATCAAAATATACATTGAACTATCGACTTTAAAATTTATTTCGAAGTAACATTTCAAGTATAGCTCTACTATTGAACTAATAATGACGCAATATTTTAAGTGAATTAGCACTACATGAAGTTCGATAAATTGAAATGATTTCTAATGAATTATCAAAATTATTAGCTAGAATTCATTGAGATTTATTAGTTAGTGTAGCCAGTATAAATCTTGTTAAATTTTTAAATGTTATACGATAAAGCTTTTTTTCTTAAAATGAATATATATATATATATATATATATATATATATATATATATATATATATATATTCCGTCTTGACGAGAAATCTTAGTGTTTAAGGTCAATAAATTAAAACTATTCAGTAATTCATCCATTTATTTATTTAAATACATGAACATTGGTTCAAGAAGGCACCAAATATATATACGCTACACTTAGTCATTTGATTTTTTTGAGGGCCAGAATACTATCCGGGCACCCAAACAGAAGCAGATGGTTTTCTTAGAGGGTCTTTAACCTAGAGGTCTAGTTCACAAAGTAGTGGAGCAACGTTAGGAGATGCAGTATCATGGTAGCCAGTGATTAAATATAGGTTTATACACCATTTTTTCCATCAGGATCCTGGAGCCCATGTGCACCATTGGTTTGGAATCAGAGTTTATGAAATCGATTTCGTGTGGCTATGTGAGAGCATTTCGAAAGGGAGAGAGGACTCTCCCCACCCTCGACCATACCAGGGTTGATGTATTGAATTTCAACACAATAAGCTTTACTTAATGATTAGTTTCACTGAAAATAAAGATTATGGTTAAGCAAATGATCTTACAGTATGTAGGGACATGCTTTACAAATGTCAATAAAGTACAACATCAGAAAAGAATTATTTTCTCACATAACATTTATTTTGTGAAGTAACTTCATCTGACCATATTAAGTCGAATTTACAAATAAGTGTTAATCATCAGTGAAAAAAATATTTACGAAGTGTAATTTCTAAGATAGTCGATGATTCAAAAACAAATTAACTAAGTTATTTTACGAAATTTTGTAGTGTAAAAAATCTGTCTTTCCTCTTTTTAGTACCAAAACATCACCAAAGACTCAGTGTTCCATATTTGAACAAGATTTTTGAGAATTCGGATCATAGGAAGGTACCTTCAGAAGAAAATGAAGAAGAGATGTAACAGTTATTTATATAACCCCACCAATGCCCAATACAGTTTCCTTCCCGTTGATTAGAAGGAAGAGATCAAGGCTTCAGTGGGGAATTAACCTCAGCAACCGCTCACTGTGGGTGACACGCCAGACTTTTTAGTTACATGTAGCGTTGTAAATGTCTAGAAGAAAAAAATACAAATATTTGTGTCTAAAATAGAATATTTACGTTAAGATATAAACAGCAAAACGGAAACAGATTATCAAAGACATTGAACTTTTTTGTACACCTGATTTATACTATGGAAACCAAATCTTAGGCCATATCTTGAAAACGATTCAATGTAAATAAAAATATATCATATTCACAAACCTCAGAACAAGTTGGGTGAATTCCTATTGTACGATCAAAATCTGCTTTAGTTGCACCCATTTTAATTGCAACTGCATATCCTTGTGTTATTTCCCCAGCATTAGGACCCAAAACATGCAGACCCAGTACACGCATGTGCTACAAAACGGAATAAATGAGTAAAATGGTGAACTATTAAAAATGTGCTGTTTATCTTAAGACGCTCAGGTTTGCTTCCCTTCTGCATTTCATTATCAAATGATGCTCCATAATTGAAAACTTTTAATAAAAATATAAATTACACCAGTTAGAAAGTACACGTAATAGTAAATACACAGAATGTGATGAAACTAAAGTGATTATCAAAAAAATATGATAATGGTGTCTTATTTTTTTCAAGTATAGTGCATAAACGGGGTGGTGCTTAACAGCCCATTTAAACTTAACCTTTATTAAACTTATACATTATCCAGTACATTATTCATAATCTAACTACAAATGAGTTGGTCAATTCATATTTATTTACTACTAAGTCATTTACCAGACACGGGTTTGTGTACTTAGGTTTAAGCTGAACTCTAAAAAAGGTGAGGAGGATGATGATACTACGTCCTATTCGGGAAGATTTGGGAGGAATAACAAGTAACAACTGACTGTAAGGAAAGACAACTCATCAATATACGAAAGAAAGCAGGTCTGAACAAGTGTAAGAACCATAAAGTCAGTCAGTCAGTCAGTCAGCTGCAACGTAGGACCAGGCACGTATATGCATCGGTCCAAGTTGCCATACCATAAAAGAATAACACTACTGTCAGTAACAGGAAAAGTCTTCAACAGAGTGTTGCTGAACAGCATAAAAGTCTCAGAAGACGCCCAACTTCCTGATCAACAGGCTGAATTCTGTAAGAATCGGTCGTGCACAGACCAAATCGCAACACTACTGATCATTGTTGAACAATCAGTTGAGTGGAACTCGTCACTATACATTAACTGCATTGACTATGAGAAGGCGTTTGACGGTGTGAATAAGCGAACCTTCTTCAACACGATGGAGTACCTCAGAACATCGTCAACATTATCCGGCATTCATACGACAGACTGCAGTGTAAATTGGTACATGGACAACAGCTGACGGATACATTCCAAGTAAGGATTGGAGTCAGACAATGCTACCTACTCTTACCCTTCCTCTTTATTCTGGTGGTCGAATGGATTGTGAAGACCTCGACATCCGAGGGGAGGCACGGAATACAATGGACAGCTTGCATGCAACTAGACGATTTGAACTTCGCAGATGACGTGGCCATTCTAGCCCATTCACACCAACAAATGCAGATGCAGACAACCAGTGTAGCAGAAGTCTATGCATCAGAGGGCCTCAACATTCATAAAGGAAAAAGCAGGATCCTCAAAGATAATATGAAGAACACCAACTCAATCACTCCTGATGGAGGAACTCTGGAACAGGTGGAATCTTTCACATACCTCACCAACATCATCGATGAACAAGGACGATCTGATGAAGACGTAAAGGCGAGGATTAGCAAAGTAAGGACAGCATTCCTACAATTGAAGAATGTGTGGAACTCAAAACAACTGTCAACCAATATCCAAGTCACAATCTGCAATGCGAACGTCAAGACAGTCAGTTCTATTGTACGGAGCTAAAACTCGGAGAACTACTACAACCATCATCAAACATCTACAGGTGTTTATAAATAATTGTCTACACAAGATACTCAATGTCCTTTGGCCGATTACCATCAGCAACTGTTTACTGTGGGAGAGGACAAACCAACTTCCAGTTGAGGAGGAAAATAGGAAAAGACGTTGGTCGTGGATAGGACATACATTGAGGAAATCATCAAACTGCATCACGAAGCAAGCGACAACTTAGAATCCTAAAGGGAAACATAAAAGAAGAAGGCTGAAGCAGACATGAAAATGATGAATAGCAATTGGAAAGGACTGCTCAGGACAGTTGGATGGAGAATGTTGGTGAGCGGCCTATGCTCTTCGACGAGGGGCAACAGGAGTAAGTAATTAAGTATGGTTTGCACAAAGCAGTGATAAGCTAGTTTAATCTTCTTAAAATTACGAAATGATGCTTTTAACAAATTTATTTTAAACTGATCCTCATAAATAATAAGTGCAATAACGCATTATAATCCCAGTTAAAACAAAGAACTAACAGTTCTATAGTTTTGTATGAAGCATAATACGCTCAAAGGAATTTGATGTCGTCAAAAGTAACCTTGTACATGAACTTACATCAGATTTACGACAAACAAGTTTCATGTAACAAACGTTATCTTCGCGATGAGCGACAGTCCATTCCAAAGGTTTAAAATTTGAATGATACACCTAGAAAGGTAGAAAAAATCCCAGTGAAACAGAATGACATTAGTTACATCTAATAATCAATCTTACTGTCAAATGTGGAACATTCTAAAAAAAACTGTTTTGACAAATAATTATTTAAAAATTCGCATATAGCTTGAGTAAGAAATATTTTCGTATGCTGAGACCTAAGTTTTAGTTACGAATATAATAATGTATCCTACTCACTGCCTTCTCGTGGCAAAGGTGTTGTTTACGAAATTGAGAGGACGAAAAGCGAATGTCAGGCAGTTTAACCGGGTTAGTGGATATGGAGGATCCACCTAGGGGAGTTGGAAAACCCCGATTTCAAACCAATGGTGCACATGGGCTCCAGTATCCTGAAGGAACAATTGGCGTATGAACCAATCGTTGATCACCAGCTACCATGGGACTGCATCTTCTTACGATGCTCCACTGCCTTGTGGATCAGACATTTGGGTCAAAGGCTTTGGGTGTGACCCCTAAGAAAGCCACCTGCTTCGTCCTGGGGACCCGGGCAGTATCACAGCCCACACACAAATCAAATGAGATTAGTGTGGCGCATATGTACCTGGTGCCTCCTTGTACCAATATTTATGTGTTCAAATAAATATATAAATAAATAAACCAAGAAAATATTTGCAACTGATTATTGCTACTGTTCGGTGGAAATGGAAAAAGCTGGAAGTTTACATTATTAAGAAATAGATATTGGAAGATTTCATTCGCTAACACTTAAAAGTGGTAAACCCACCGACAACTAATCAATGATTACAGTGGTGTGACCAAACACTGTTCGACTGCATGACTACCAAAAAACAAGTACAAATAAAAATTTTGTTGAAACGCTGTGCAAATTAACATTCTTATCATGATTGTGGCATTATATGGTGGACACTATATAGACGAATTTGTTGTAGTATGGCTAGATATCCCTCAATAATGACAGCTTTGTATTGAATAAATGGTTTATTATTACAGCTTGATAAAAATATTAATTTAGCATTGCTTGCTCAACTTGAGATGTGCAGTTATCGATTTCATACACGTTATATTTGTATTGGTCAATGAAAATAGGGATCATGAATGACACTAGTCATGTCACCGGTAAACTAAGTTGATTTAATAACTTAATCATCTAGTGCGGTCATTAATTGATTTATACATACTCATTGGGATATTACAAATATATTATTTATTTATACATAAATTGGTTTCTTCTAGTGCATAAATATTCACTGTAGTGATCTTTTTGTCAAAAGATTTATTCATATGATTTTCGTTTGTTCCAATGTCACAGAGCGTTAAGATCTTTTAACATGATACCTATGATCAATTATTAAAAAAAAATGATGGTGGCTAACAGGGAAGATATTTATTGAACGAATATGATTTGTTACTGTATTTGACTGAATTCAATGAGACTAACATTATAAAAAGTTTTTCAATGTCAGCATTTTGAAAACAACCATTTTCTAGGTTTCGATAAAATTTATATATTGTGGCCAGTGATGAATTTTCCATTAAGAAAAAGGGAAAATACAATATTTCCAGACATACCTCAATATCTTTATCACCATATTTTTCAATTGCATCTTCTTCACTCAATCCACAAGCCCCATATTCAAGTGGAGTGAAAACAGTTGTAGCAACATTGGAATAGTCAGTCTAAATGAGAATATATACAAACAGAAACAATTATAAAAAATATATAGATGTGAAAAACTACATAGTCTAGTGCTGACAAATGAAACAAAATAGTTTTGGTAGTGATTAAACACCATATGTACACATAAATCATGAAAGATAGGGACAAATATCGAAATAAACATAGTTGTAACAACGACTGATTTAAGTAACTTTGGGAAAGGTTAGATTTAAGAAAGTCAAACATATCTGAGCCATTTTGTAGTGACAACAATTGAAAAAGTCATTACGTAAACTTTACTTATCAAGGAGTAAAAGAGAGAGATAATAGATGAACTCATTAATGCACATATTTCTAGGTTTTATAACATAATCAAGGTTACGCGGATATATCGCTGGATGAACTTCTTCCGTCATGAAAAATTGTGGATCTGATCATAGATTATTTAAACAAATTAACTATGATCAAATCAAGAAGGTGAATATGAAGAACTAAGTGCCAATTCTCAATAAGTTAAGAGTAGTGAAGGATTATAGCAATCGAAAAAATTGAAAAAATATCATTAAACGACTGCTAGGTTACATAATATTACTTCAGTTAAACTGAATAGGGTTTCCTACGATTGTCTGATGATAAAAACCCACAATAAAGATGGATTGACTGAATCCGTCATATCAGTGTGTGTTTATAAGTTCAATTGCTGCTGTGGAGCTAGTAATATAGGGCTTACCATTCGGCAAGTCTGTCATCATATAACAGAACGCTATCCGTCTTGGGTGAACAAAGAAAAGCTAGGGGTGATTAAGAGCTTTATTCTCGCTTACTTGGTGAATATACAGGACATCAAATTGACCTGAACAAACTTTTTGAATTTATCTAATATATCCCACCAAATTTACCACATGGTCTACCGGTTCTTCTCTTGTATGATACTGGAGCAATTGAAATCTATGTTCATAAACCTAATCTTTATAATAAAAAAAAGTTTATACTAGTCCTCTCTCTACGCTGGTCAACGATATAAGAGTGAGTGTTAGTTGAATTTGGATCCTTTCAAAAAAATATTCAATTTTCTAAGCTTTCACACTCTGCGTTCTTATATATTGTAGCATCTGTCTCTTGATTTTTATACAAGTACCATAAAGTTGATTTTTTTTTATCAAAACAGTATTTAGCATCTGTTTAATTACATCTTTTCAAATTTTTACAAATAATTACTTTGATTATTATAATCCTCTTTCTCTCAAATAGTTAGTCAATTATTCGATATTATTTCGATAGTCACTTTTAAATTATATAAATATCATGCTACACTACTACTCCATTATTATTATTATCATCATATTGTTGTAAATTATATATTTATTAGTGTGAAATCATGATAAAAGAAAACTTATCAAAAGGAAATTTAAAGTAGAATAAGCTAACGGTTATGTTTATAGTCTATGTTGTTACTCAGTAAAGCAACATTTTAGTTCGATTGATACAACTTGAGATTAGTCATCAATGTGTAGTGACCGGAACAACAAAGATATCGAAGTTTATATAAATATTCATATTAAAACAACATAAAGGACAAAAGTACATCAAATATAGTTAGCAGAATGAAGAATGATGTAAGTTTGAAGTGAGCAAAAAATATACGGCTACGAATAAATGTGACAGTTATTCAATACGAATTGGCAAAACCTAAGTTATCTGCAACTTGAGAATGATGATGTAATTGTATGATACTATTTGGTATACTTGATAAACAGTCAAACAGTTAAAGGCCTTAGATTTTCTTTTGTTTGATCATGAGGATGAGATATTTATTTATTATTTACATAGCAACTGGTGGTTGAAAGTCAAGAGTATGAACGTGATATTCAATATTTACTTAAGATCATTTATTTACTGCGAAGTACGGACGTTTCATGCCTTCCGGATGGTTGAACTTAGCTGGGTTATATATTGCTTTAACAGAAAAAGAATGTAGAATGAATGTACGATGAGCAATAAATAGAAACTTGAATTGAAATGAATGGATAAAACGAAGTTTGAAGAATTTTGAATTCAGTTAATCTAAACTTACTAGTTCAGTTGCACCAGCAAACAAACGTCTAGCCAAGTAGCGCCCGGCTTGAATAGCCACGGGAGTTAATTGTGGTTTTCCAGCATTGATATCTCCAATGGCATAAACATTACTGACTGTAGTTTGTTCATCATCTGTGCATATAACTCGACCATTCCTGAATTATTATACATTTCAATATCGAACAATTAAATAAAATGAAGGTATTGCAATAAACCGTTCTTGAAACTAATACAGAATTAACTATATACTGAACATGTACCCCAGTAACAAACGAAACTAGACAACCAACTCTCAAATAAACACCAATGAGAAGGCAAAACTGCTATCATGTTCAAATTGGCATAATAACAGAGAATCTCATAGGAACATCGATAGTCTCAGTTTGTTATACTTACAAACAAAGAGAGAGATAGCAATGAACATAAATAAGGATATCAGTCCAACAAATAGAAAGTGATAATACATTCAATAGTTAGAAAACAAGTATCTACAAAAATGACCAATTTTAAGATATTTTACGTAAGATATTCAACTGGAGCACGAAAAGAGAAATGTGAAATCTGCATAGTTTCTCTTTGATGCATTTAGTTCTAATAGTAATCTCTTTTTGACTTCTTCATTCTTCAAATTCCTTTCTATCGTGAATTACAGTCAATTTACTTGAAATGTTACTCAGCTTTGTACACAAAAAAAGATCAATTTATTTTACTTATATAATCACGTGAGTCATTTACAAATACTACTAGGTAAGAAACAAACTTGTGAATCAGTTATTGTTTCGATGTTATAAAAATTTAAGTAATAAAGTATTCGGAAATTAGATTCACATGATAATTCATCAATAGATCTGTTATTATCACCGTATTAGTTAATTAACTAATCTGTTGTGAAGTAAAAAAAGTTATATTGTTTAAAATCTAGTTATTAACCAATTAAAGTAGTATATATTCATTCAATATTATTGAGTTAAAAACATGAGCTACTCTAGCTTTAACGTTAAATCATCATCTACCCATTTCTCTAGTCACTTTCTAGTGAATAGTCGTATGTATTGTTTAATCAAGGAGAATTCAGTAAGGAAAAATGGATGAGGGGAACCGATTGTGCATATAGTAGTTATTTATTAACAGCATCAGTTTTTTCGCTTATCAACAGATAATTCAGTGTTAAATCAAAGATCAAACTGAATAATGATCAGATCATCGTGTATGACTTGTTCTGAGATGGATACCCCAAATCTTTATTAAAACGTCCGTGACCTGTAATAAATCAAGTCGGGGATGAGGAGTATTTACATCATGATACTAAATTATGATAGTTGTATATTGTGAATCGAATGAAGGTATAGAGTTTGAAATGTTAAATTTTGACTTAGTAGTTAAACAGAATCATACTTACAATGACGCTTAATATTTTGGAATTGGACATGGATGAGGGGTTATGAGTGTGCACCTGCAAGCATTGCCAATTCAGAATGAAACAACAATGTAGTGCTCATCAGTTTTTATTACTTCAGCAGTTGATATCAGTCTGTATTAATATGTCGAAAAACTTAAAACAGTGTTTACAACCTACTTGTCTAGTTTAACACCCACGGTTTTACAAAGAACCTTCGATAATTGCGGTTCACGACCAACAGCAAAAATGACCTACAAAATAAAGATGACTGATTAGATTATTATTATCATTTTGCGTGGTTTTATGGAAAGTTAGTTGTTTTATCTATGCTACTAAATACGACGATACCAACAGTAACCTACTTATGATAGATTTCCAACAATTCACTGGAATAGTGTTACACTAAGATTTAACAAAATGATTAGTTAAAAAATACATTAAATGAGTGATATATTACAATTATTTGATGTGCCTAAAATCATAATAATCAATTCGTGTGAGTATTTTGTTAAAAAACCTCATTAACTAGTTGGCTGCACAAAATTATTATTCTTATCATTCATCTAAATACTTGGACGAACTGGTATTTATGCTACTTCTCATGTTGTATCAACCTAATTTTCGAACAAGTAAAAAGATTTAAATTACAACACTTAAAAACTCGAGAAACCAATATAATAGTCAGGAATTTGATTTCTAGTATGCTGACTACAGTCTTTCTAAGCGAAGAACTGTTGAGGAAACAGCTCAAGATGTTTGATTTTCAGTTTGGAACTTATTAAGGTTTAGTATGGGTATACACTCAAACAGTCTGAGGAAATCAGGCAGAACAATATATAACAAACTGATCATCATATAGAGACATTAGGGCAAAACCTGGTAGAAAAGTATAGCGGTTTAAGTTGTTACAATTTGTAACAGTATAAAAAGAGAAAATGATATTCAACTAAACACAGATAATAAGGGTTAATAAGGAAATTTCATTATGGAAACGAAATATATGCTTGTTTCTGCTAGTTATAACATTATCAAGAAGTCAATTTATCAGTGAACTGAACTATATGACTACGAAACACCAAATAATGCAAAATGAAATGAGACGTCTGAAAGAAACTAACCATCGTTTGTAATGCAATGAGATCAAATGACGCTATTATTCTATTTAGTCGTTAGCAGAATTTGATTAGGAATATGCCTACGGATTCCGAGGTTGTAAATATCGAGGCATAGAAACAACAATAGATTTGATCTTATTGCAACCGTTATATTTGATTTATGATCAAAAACACCTGAAACTTTGACGTATTTACATTATTGATTACTTTGTTGTATAGGTAATGAGTCGAACATAAAATGTTGGTATAATATAGTATTGTAAGTGGAAAAAGGTTTAGTGATTAAGATATTTGGCTTCCGACCACTAAATTCCGGTCTTGAACTCCGCTCCACCTACTTTAGTTTAGCAGACAAGGTAGCATCATAAATCCTTACACTTACAGTGTGGCTTATACCCTGGTAAATGAGTTAGCATAGTATATAACATACAATTAAAATAAGTAGATAACTCAAAGCTGAATATGATGGGGATTGTTAACAACTAGTCGAGTATTAATTATTTGACTGAGTGAGGGATTTTAAAAAAAAGTAAAATAAAACTACTGAAGTGTCAGTAATTTGATTCAATGGAATCTTAAAATTGAATGAATGAGAGCTAATTTTGATAGTTCAAATAAGATATCATAATAGACAGAAAATAGAGTTGTAAATACATCCAGTGATTTCAATGAATCATATCTGCTTCAATTTAAATTCTTGAATATAAAAAGTGAAAACAACTGTAATTATGTGATCAAATCTTTAGTTGATGGAAATACCAATGAATGTAACAAGTGAGCAAATTTATCCTGATTAGCAGTTATCAGCTAGCTACGTCTTTATCAATTGATAAGTGTTCTAATCATTTCGCCAATCAATTTGCGCTTATAACTAATCAAATGAAGTAATTAATAACCTTAGGAAGTGTAAGGAAAATGTAACACACAAGAACATACATGAGTATATCAAATATCTTGTCGACTATTAAGAATGATCTTTCCTTTAAGAAAATGAGAGCATTATCGTAATATTACTGCAAAACATTCGAGAAAGAACATGGATTTGATGTAAAAACATACCGTTTCAAATTCTTCTTCAAATTTTTTACCGTCGGTATAATGACCCTTCACAAGCAAAAGTCCAGGCTTATTATTTTCAGTATCTACTGCTTTCAGTTGTTTGATCTAATGATAGAGAAAAAAACCAATTATACTTGATAAATAAGAGTAGTGCTTTGAAACTATTACCAATACATTGTTACTAGGCAAATATTTAAATTATAGAAACTCATTAGAAATTTAATGGTACTTTAAATTTCATACTTTTCAAATACTATTGACAACCAAGATTGTTTCTCAAAAACTAAATGAAGATAATTTAAATTAAAATGGAAAAGTATTCTAAATGAAAGAAATGAGGAAAATTGATAATAGCCTCAATTTTATTTTAGTTTATATAAAATAAGTACAACTACATTGATTAAACACAAACTTTCTGTCTTCTAGTTAGTTTTAAGCAGTTCATATATAAATATGATATGATGAACACAACTTTAATTTGTTAGAAACAGGTGGTAACTTAAAGAGTAAATAGGACCAACAATTCTGACAACGAGATTTATTTAACTTAATTGTAGTAATATTATACTAGTGATCATTAGACGAGCTTAACGTTAAGATTATTGGGAATAGCCCAAGTCTACTGTATCCAAAATTTTAGGAGATTGCCAATATAACACTATTCTTTAATTTAAAGGTTGTGACTTCTGTGGTTGAGTGACAAAAATGTAAGGATTTGAAATAATCGTAGGATTGAGGGATAAAATTTATTCAAATAACATGTCTACTTCCATTGATCAGCAATCAGCCCTTGTCAGCAGGGGAAAATTTCTGATTTTATGGAATTATTATTATAAATACCAATATATTGTTGAGCCAGGGAAGTCCTACTCACTGCCTTCTCGTGGCAGAGGTGTTGTTTACGAAATTGAGAGGACGAAAAGCGAATGTCAGGCGCTTTAACCGGATTAGTGGATATGGAGGATCCACCTAGGGGAGTTGGAAAACCCCGATTTCAAACCAATGGTGCACATGGGCTAACAAATCCTGGTGGAACAAATGGCATCTGAACCAATTACTGGTCACTGACTACCACGGGACTGCATCTCCTGACGTTGCTCCACTGCCTTGTGGATCATACATTTGGGTCGAAGGCTCCGGGTGTGAACCCTAAGAAAGCCACCTGCTTCGTCCTGGGGACCCGGGCAGTATCACAGCCCACACACAAATCAAATGAGATTAGTGTGGCGCATATGTACCTGGTGCCTCCTTGTACCAACATTTATGTGTTCAAATAAATATAATAAGAAATAGTTGAGCAGTAAAAGTCTATACTTTAAGTGTTTTTCTATTAAACTATAAACATTTCATTATTTTGTTTTGGGATTATTTAAGAAATACATTACTAACCTCATCTGGTACACATAACTTTGCAAACTTGACTCCATGATTCTCCATGTAGTCACCAACCTTTTCAGCCATTTGTTGATCAAAACCACGAAGTAAAATGGAACGAACCATAACGGTAACATCACCGCCTAAACTAGCAAGGAAACCAGCACATTCCAGTGCAACGTAACTTGCTCCAATGACTAGTGTCTTGCCCGGGAAGTATGGCAAAGAAAATAAATCATCGCTGAAAAGGTTAAGTGATTTACAAATGCATATAGTATGTTTCCCAACTCAACTTAGTAAACAACATAATTTTGTGCGATGCTTAGATAAAATAGATAATTTTTCTGGTTGACATAAATATTGAATCAACTTGAATCTTGAGTAGCAGAAATGCTCTCTGTATAAATCGGTAAGCGAACAAAAGTGAGTATCTGGCAGATATTCGTACCTGTACAAATAGCACAATTTCAAACAGCATAGCAAGGTCAAAACCAACAGCCAGTGATTTCGTGAACTTATATCTTGGTTTACTTTCTAGTTTTCTAACCCATTTATACTCTAGCCAACATTGCACATCCGGGTTGTTGGGTATACACAACACAAATTCCAGTTACGTCAACCAATGAAGATTTACAACTTCACCAAATGATTTCTCAACTTTATCCAGCTTCAGCATTGCTCACTAAGTCTCACTATACGCGGCCTGCGCTTTGGAGGTACCTACAATCAAAAGCCTGTAGCCTACAGACGCTATTGATTCCCACAAACCGTGTTTCCCAGACGTAGAGTAATACAGAGCGGTTTATTATGCAGTGAATCCATCCCTTGATAGGTACATGGACATCTCCTCAAGGTCACAAGTAACGTATGTTCGCGAAAAACCAAGTGAGTTTTCTGAATCAGTCCTAAACACATTATTGTGTAGGATATTCAAACGACTAGATAATGTTAGAGTGAGAACAACGAAATATGAGATGTATGAAAAAGTCAGAATCAAGAGAACTCCTCAGCACTTAGTCTCTAAATAAGATGACTAAATTGTCAACTGCGCTTCATCTTACACCAAATGAGATCAATATTATCTCAAAAAACCTACTTATTATCCAACAAATATGGAAACTGATCAGTACAATCATCTAGCTACTCACTTAGCATCAAATTTACGCCAACGTGTAGCTGGGTGTTACTGTCAAAGGTTAACGAAGATAACCAAATAATAGTTGAAAATATGGTTTACATTGAACAAAAATCAAGGCTATTGGTTAATAGAAACCAAACATACAATTTTTAACCAGTTTATTAGTAGTGAGTAAAATAAATAGGTAGTTCACTTAGTATACATCAGGAATCTATATGAACAATGTAGATGTAATCGAACTCAACAAACATTTGGACTAGATATGTAAAAGACCGAATGAACACATGATTATATTCAATAAAGCTAAATGCATAACAACTTATTCACATATTATTTTCTTGTTGCGTGTGGATGTTTTGATAAACACACCAACATAACCAGTAAAATGATTTAAAATACAACAAACCTTGTAATCCCATATTCAACCGCTCCAGGTATTTCTGGGTATTTGGGGCGTTCACCAGTAGCTAAGATAATTTTATCTCCAGTTATTGTAGATACTTTTTGATTCTTATCTGTAATCTGTATGGAGTGAAGATTTTTAAAGAAAATTTTACATCACAATTGTTTGGTTTTTATACCACGATAACAGACAATTAGTACCCGATATAAAATTAGATTTATTACAAATTTTTAAAGAAAACAGGGGGTAGTCATTAGATATTGAAATTTCACTTGATTTCCGCCTACAGGAAGACAACACCAATACTCTCCAAGTCAATTGTATTGTGCGTTCGAATATTATCTTGAGCATTAACAAACTCAGCTTCAGGAAGGTCGTATTTGAGAAATGAGGTCATTAAATATAATTTAAAAATAAACTCAAACTATGATGTAGCTCAATAACGAAATCATATAAAAACTAGTCCCATCCAAAAGATGTGTACACTAGGGAAGGAAAACAACAAAAACATCAACTGAAAATAATATATAAACCTAACATATAGTGGTCAGATATATTTATCCATACTTAGGGTATAACACAAGTTTGCATTAACATTCTACGTATGCTTTCAATAACAAGAACTAGGTTTAGAAACTTATGTGTTTGCTCTTCACTTAAAAAAAACTGATGATTTACGCAATAAACCGATGATACGTGGTTGTTGTCAGATTATGTATGGGCAGTGACGAACAGCGAATTATCTTTCAGAAACAAAATCAATCACAACTGTTTATTAAACTCCATATCTGCTTAAACTTTAGATATGAAATAAATGAATAACATTTTCTGCAAGATTTGGAAATTGAGTGAAATAAACGCTGACAAAAATTCAAGAAAAGTAGAAAATGAGGCATACAATTGACCTTAAATAGATATTTTAGGATGTTTACCCAAACAAAACATACCTGCACTTCATGAGGGCCTATAAGCATCCCTTTAGCATTCAGATATGTGACTTGATTATCTCTTAGTGCAACTTTATAACCCCAGTTCAAAGAACCGATATGACTTTGAACCCCCTCAACCATAGTTGACCAATTATGCGAAACTGAAATTAGAAGACATAACGCTAGTAGTAATGGAAACACAACAAAGTTTAAATTTTTTATATGATACCTTATAAAATATATATGTGATTTCAAATCATAATCTGCAGAAAATCCTTAGGAAAAAGGGTCATAAGGCTCTAGCTAATCACATCCATATAAGTATTTAACACATGTCGATAATAAAATATATCATGCTCATCTATACAGTAGTATCAGGCTATAAAAGGTGCATATCAAAAATAGATAAATACCCAATGAGTTCAAAATGTAAAGATAAAAAATAAATGAGTTATCAATGTGCTATAGTTTGTTAGGCTACTGTCACCACAGAAAGGAACATTAACCACTAAAAGCCTTGAAGCATATCTTTTATGAACTCCGTTTATTAAAACTTCTGAACTATTATTCGCGATTGCTAGGGCTAGGCAAAACAGTAATCCCTTTGGGAAGTTACAGACGGCTAATGTGTCGCATGTGGTTTCTAATTAAACAACAACTTCCAAAAACAGTGCACCGAAGCTTAAGTACTAATGTGGTGTGTGCTACTGATGTCTCAAGATAAAAGTAGTATGTATCAACAATAGAAAGTGAAATGTCTAGTGGCAGAAGGTTAAAAAAAAAATTGAAGAAAAGAGAACAAAACAGAGAATGATTAGTGTGGAAATGAAGGAACAATAAAGTCAGAGATGATTGATTGACATTTTGCAAATGAAGTATTTACTGTATAGTTATCAGATCTTACGAAGATATTCTGTAATTTCCTATTCAAATACATTTGGTTGTATCCACTTGTGTTCTCATTCACTACACTAATATCACTTGTAGTTGGTAAAAACTGTCCAAAAGAATGTAAATACGTTTAAAAACGAATAAGTATCCGATATTATAAGACACACAGGTATAAGGTTTTAGTCATTCTACTCCTTACCTCAGTTATTTCGAAAGTCTAAATCGTTTACTGAAGTACATAGTGGTCGGCAAGTAATAGACAGTTAATATCTTCATAAATTAAGGTCGATGACAAACTACATGTCTTAATGTGGTCACTAATATGCTTCATTTTAAATAATATAGTTGAAGAACTAAGGATTGTAAAACCCGGCAAGAATCAGTCAGTTACAATAGTTAGAGATTCCCTTATTTGACTAATAAATACCAGACAAGAACTTGGCAAATGATAGAAGATACTGTTAAGTCAATCTGTTAATAAAACACTACACAATGGAACCATTAGCCCCTGGATAAGACTACTAATTTTCTGATTTGTTTCCTAAGATTTTAATAAACATTGTGGCTTTTCGCATCAATACATCACCGAACCAAAAGTAATCTGAGATTATAAGCCACTTATCTTAGTGATCTTATAAACATAAATTAAGAAGACAGATGATGGTAAATACCGACTATAATGAGTCTAACGAAAACTGTGCGATCATTTAGTTAGAAACAAATGAGCCATGATATTGTTAGTTTAATTTCATATGCAGACTCACGGTATGTGAAAATACAACACTGATGTTTTATATCTAGTAGACTAGATTTTCACTGAACCACAATGAATGGATGTTCAGAAAAATTAATTATTAAAAACAGTGGTGATAAGTTTCGTATTAAAACGAGGTTGAACAAAAAAGAAAGACAAACGTTACTTTTCGACCGATCCAAACTCCATCCGAAATGTTCTGCGTCTTCCAACGCATGACCTATCAATCATAAAAACATCATATCATTGGAGCACATAAATATATGTGATAAGGCTGTATCGAAAAATGTAAATTTCATATAGATGCTATCCTCATGAAAATTAAAACTCAGAGAACCGCGACCGCTTCATAAAACGATTTAAATCATACTGAAAGTTTAGGTTATAATTATCTTATTTACTAAAGAATAATGGCTAAATACCGAAATGATTTATTGAAAAACGTACTTAAGAGTCCAGCTTGGTGCATCAATTTTTTCGGGATACATCCGACGTTTACACACGTCCCACCTAATCCCCAGGTGGTACCTATTGGAGTAGGTTCTACATAGTCCAAAACGGCTGTTTTCGCACCGTATTTAGCAGCTTCCTAAAGGATAGAAAACAAGAATAACATGTACTGACATTTTACAACAAATCAAACTAGAAATTACATTGATTTGCCCTGACACTAAGATTAGAGTGCCCGTCCTGAGTAGAGTATGTGACAGCGTAAATCAATGAACGATTCAAACCCTTTATATAACGGTTGTGACCAGTGGTTGAGAACAGTTTCGCATTGGTTACAATAGAACAGATGGATGCACGCTGTCATTTTCTCGATTTAAAGTCTTGAAGTTATTTTATACCAATTATTTCACCAATTAATTATTTCTTCTCGAATCATAATTTTTATGCTCATTCCCTATTACGATCACTAATACTTCTACTACTTTGGTATTTACCCTAGTAATTCCATTCAATTATTTTGATGTGATGTGGCAACTTGAACTGATGTACCTATCTGCCAAGTTCTACGGCTTTGATGACCGGGTAACTGATAATCAGAGACAGAACTCCCTTAGTCCTACTGAAATCGATTGGGATATTCGTACATTCACGATAAAAATGAGTCTAAACCAGGAGGGGTGTGAATACATACGAGCCAAAAGGGTTATGAATTTAATCTTTCCTTAAGTGATGAGTGGATGACTTTGGGATAGATATACGGTTGGTTCTGACGTAATTTCGGTTAGTTTCTAATGCTTCTCCAAAATAAAATATGATACGATTCACAAATCAGAGAAAACACTAATTGGAAAATGCGCACAAGCCGTGAATTGAAATGAACTACTGAGAACAATTTTCCATTGTTTGACCGATTATCTTCAGACAATAATTACGACCCTTTTGAAGAACCTCCTAAAAGCCTACAATCAATTGAACTATTTAATGTTTACTGTTATTTCCGAATATACAAGTATTTCTTGTCGTTAGGCGACATATTGCAGAAGTAAACAAGAAATACGAATCCGATTACTAAAAGCTGACCACTCAAAATGATCATCCTACTCAATCTTTACATTAAATAAGAATGGTTCTAGAGAAATATTTTGGGTAGTACACATTACACAATGAAAAGTAATACCCGTAGCAAAATCCAACGTTCTGTGGTTGGGATAGTTTTATTACACGCTAAAGTAGGACTGAACAACGCATTAATGCCGAACGCTTTTCGAATAGGATACACGCAAATATGTATTGAAATGGAACCTTAGTTTTACAAAAACTGTTTTGATCTGTAAAAGATGCAGATTAATCAGAAAAGAGTTAAGTTAAATTTGTACTCTTTGCAAAAGCATAAGGCGGAAACAAGTGAACAAATCTACGTAAACTGGACAAACACAAATCAAAAACAGCAAACCAAATGACGGATTAATAAAGTCATACGTTTAAAGAAAGTCAACCAATGAAAGTACATGTATTACTAAGACTGACTACGGTGCACGTTACACAAGTTATTTAAAATCAAAACAAATGAGTGTACAGGAAAGTATGATAATTGATCCTTTATCTGTGTTTCTTGAACCGATGGTTGTTTTGACTTAGTGCAGATGTTTTGAGACAAAGTTTTTCATTGAGTTTTTCCAGACAAATAAATCATGTTACAAAAGGCTTTTTATATGAACACTAGCAATCGAGTCAGCTCACGATGAGCTACAGTTCGAATTGAATATACCTGCTATTGTAGATTGAGACTGTTTAATTTCCACTTTAATTTAATTTGCACTTTGTCATAAACATCCTTCTAGTGTTAATGGTTCACTTGCTTTCCATACTACAGGATATGTAGATGACGACACTGGAGATAAAACACAAATCTTTTATGCAAATCGTGTGGAGACAGACATATTTAGGATGCATTCCTTAGTCTTTTCAATTCAATGTTGTTCATATAAATGTATGCTACTTCATATTAGGCAACGGTGGTTGAAAACTAGAGTGGACACAACTGATTCTGAACCTAGTAAAAAAAGCCATACACTTACTGTCATATGACCTTTAACAAACTTAACAGTCATCACAAGAACTTTTGATAAGCTGTTTATAAATTACACTCGGTCGGTTTGAATGAAAACGTATACAATAGAGTTGATGAAATTTATTCGCGCCAACTCTCTGAGCCTGCTTCCCAGATGGAAGAGACTCAAACATCAGACGTTTATTCTGCTCACTTGAACCCCTACTTGTTGGTTAGCATTCGAGGCCTGACTGAACCGTGAACTATGTTTATTTGAAGATGCTGTAGCTAGTGAATGAACAAGTACCTTTGAAATGTGTTCGATGTTATGAGAATGTGTACAAACAAAAAAAGTTGATATCCATCGCAACAGAAAGAATGAAGTACCTTTCCAGCAGCAAGTCCACCAGATCCTCCACCGATAACTATCAAATCATAGTCATACTTGCTTTCATTGACAATACTCGTCAGTTCATTATTACGGTGGTATTTTAATACCATCTGAGAATCCCCTTGAACAACTCATCAGGGAGTTTCACATCACTTACCGATGAATTTTCCCCTAACAAACATTTGAGGAACTGTTTCAATTTTAGAGAAGCTGGCTAAAGACTTCTGGATGGCCGAACCATTGGCTAAAAAAGGAATAAAAGAGAGTTTCGACATACATAATTGATCTAGTTCAATTGTCGCATGCTTAATCTTTGCTTCAGCCAAAACATCCTTCACCTACAAAATAAAATACATAAATGAAAATCGACCACCAACATTTTTGCAATAAGGACAAGTCGTCTTGCTGAATAGTATTACGGCCGCTGAATCTATCGTTTTTCGTAACCATTGGGATGTTCCATCAACTGGAGGCATGGTGTACGGCTGGAACAATAAAAAATTCAAATGTTAGCAAAGAAAAAATAAATGAGCTCACAAACCTAACTGAACGAAAAACCACTGGGTACTTACACAGTTCGACATGCAATTAAAACAACATCGTTTAGTTTAGATGCATGAAACATTTTGTGCTGTAAGAATAAGTCCTAAGGGACCAACTTCACTACAAACGTGTAACAAGAACTACTAGCACATTTGAGCTGCCATTTTAATAATGCGTCACAAATAATCATGATTAGGCGTTAATATAGATATAAACTGTGTATAGTGCCAAAAAAAATGAAGAACAATAAAATGTGCAAGGGTAACTTAGTGAGAATTAGTGCTGACAATGACTAGTGATGCACTCACTGCACTAAAAATTCAAGATAAAATTTGTGCTAGATTATTAACCGGAACATTTTAAACCGTTATCCTACCATATGTATGTTTCGGTGCCAAAAGTCACTTGAAGGTCGAATATATCAGGTTTCTCAATAGTGAAGTTACTGTATTCGTATGTAGAACATGCAGACAAATAGGTTTCCGGAATCGAGCGCATGTTATGAAAATTAACTACACGCAAAAAAGCAGCTTTCAGCTAACGATATTAAGTCCCAAGCTTAGAATCCTAAGTTGTTTTATATGCAGCCTTATGGAGGAAATCTACTCAGACATCCGAAGTGGCTTTCAATTTTTAATGCGACTGATATAAGGAGAACAACCTCGCAATAATAATAATAATAATAATAATAATAATAATAATAATAATAATAAGGTAGTATGTGTTTGTGGGCGTTTTCGGTGGGAAGATGCTAATCGACATGTGGCTAGTGGCCATGGTCTTAGTAATTGAATAATTAGCAAGCACTAGCTATGTTTTTTTAAAGTTAAGATGCCTTACAAGGTTATTTACATTACCAGAAGAAATGCAAATCTTTGGGCTTCTAGATGGAAATAATGAGAATTTAAGCTGACGTAAATGAAGATATTTACGACCCCAATTCATTCACTTTGTGCATGCAAAACAACATTTTACCGATTCATTTCTACGATTCCATGTGCATAATAAAGGGAGACACACTTTGTGATATCGACTTGCGTTTATACAGAGACTTCTAAACCAAGACATCAGACGGTATCACTGTCAAGAGGATGAGGTTTGATTTGGTACAATGCAACAAAATGCAATTCAAAAAGATAAAAATCCTATAGATATAAATATCAGTAACCCGAACCATACCACAAATGTATTCAAATCGCGAACTCAGCAGAAACCCTAAGTATTTATACTTCGCGCCGGTAATTAGGTGTGATCGAACAGTTGCTACTGGCCAATCATGTTGGGACCATATTTGCTTGAGTTCAATATAACGTATTTGACTTCAAGGACCATTTTTAGCAGATTAACCTGAGTTCGTTCATATGCGTTGATCGTCCGTTGGTCACTTTAATTAGCAACTGTAAGTATATCGTTCATATGAAAGATGAGCCAATTAAGTAATATTCCTCAGCTTTCTGCAAAAATAAAACTCATAAATTGTGACTCACGCACTACTGCTGGTTAGATCTAGATGTTTTAGTTTCAACACGCGGAATAAGCATGCCAAACTCTTTTGAATACAGACCTACGGTAATGGCTTATTAACCTTGGTTCATAAATAGTTCAAATGGTTGTGGACCGAATAGAAGAAGCTTTCGCTTAACAGGCTTCCGTATCTAGTAGCAGGGGATCACTAATACCTCCAGGAAGGAACTTAGGTATATTAACGATAAAAGAGAAAGAAAAAAGAAATTGGTAAATCGTGGTAAAATACTATCCTTAGTCCTTAAGAATCGATCAAGTTGCCTCTTAAAGGACTCCTGTGAAGTTGCTTGGACTAGCTCAGCCGGCAGTGGATTCCAGCATTTGACAACTCATAAGGAGTAGAAGTTGTGCCTGCAGTTCGTTCTGCTATGTTGTATCTCTAATTTCTGGGTGTTACCCCTTAGGGTAGTATTGGGACTAAGCTTAAGTAGGTGTTTAAGAGGATGTCCAGAAGTGTTGAGGATACTGTAAGCCATTAGAAGGTCACCTTTAAGATACCTGGACTCTAATGGGGAAAGGTCAAGTTATTGGAGGCGCTCTTCATAAAGTTTAAATTTGAATCCTCGAACTGATTTCGTGGGTCGCTGTTGGATACGCTGCAGAGTGTCCTTATCCTTTTGGAGTGTAGGAGGAAATTCTGTTTCCGTACTCTAAATGGGGATGAATAAAACTGTTGAAGATTATATGGAAGTTCTTCCGTCAAACTGACCAAAAATGCGCTTCAATGTTACCAGTGCAAGGTTTGCTCGAAAGGCATTTTTTTCACAGTTAGCGTAAGACTTTAAGTCGTAGGGTACCAGGACTCCTAAATCTTTTTCGACTCATAATATTACTAGAGAGGAGTTTCCCAAGTTGTAACTGTAGTCTGCGACATGTGGCGGATGGACTACTTAACACTTTGAAGTGTTAAAGGAAAGTCCGTTGTCACCTTCCCAACTTTGAAGTCGAGTCAGATCCTCCTGAAGTGCCTACGTATCTCTCTCCAGAGTTTCACGTCATCGGCAAAAATTAGTAAGTCTGACGATACCTGTTGAGGAGGATAATTCATATAAATCAAGAAGAGAAGAGGTTCTAGTACTGAGCCCTGGGGGACCCCACTTGGACATTCCATAGCCTGAGATGAAGTGAAGGTAACACTGAGCTTAAAATGTCGATTTTACATATATGAACTGAGCCAATCAATTAGAGGTGGTCTGATAACCAATTATCTGGGCCTACTGATAAGACATATACGGTTAACCCTATCAAAAGCTTTTGAGAAATCAAAGTAAACGATATCAACCTTACCCTTGCGATCGAGGATGCTTGTCCGTCTGTCCACCGCCGTCAGCAGCTTGGTCATACAGGAGTAAACCTTCCTGAAACCATGCTGCTGGAGTGAGAAGAAATTTAAGGACAGCAGATAGCCGTGTATACCATCATATATCAGGGACTCCATGATTTTTGAAGGTGTGGAGAGAAGAGCCACCGGTCGGTAACTTGAAGTTTCACTGCGTCGACCTCCTTTGAAAATTGGTTTGATGTGAGCCAGTTTCCAATTTTGCGGTAATGTGCCTCGGTTTAGCGAGTGTGAGAACATCACGCCAAGCAGTGTTGCCAGGATTAAAGCTGCTCCCCTCAGCATAGCAGAATGGACTATATCTGGGCCAGGAGAAGTGTCTGTTCTTAGGTGCTGCAGTTTTCGGAACAGCAAGTCAGCGCTCAGGTTCACTACGGAAAGTCCTATGCAGTTGCAGATGAAGCTGTCATCAGTATGATTGATGTGGGTCTATTGAAATGTCCGGGAGTATTGCTCAGCCAAAAGGTTAGCGGCATCGCCGTCGTTATCGGTCGGGCCGTTAGGACCCAGCAGTTAGGAAACTCCAGTTTTGGCTTGACGAAGAGAGACTGCGTAACGGAATAAGCTTTCCGGATTGGAGACAAATTTATCCATAAGCTTTAGATGATGGTTGGAGGTAGTCGATAGGAAGCCCTGGACCCGGGTTTCGTGTTACTTGGCACTCGTCAGCAAGGTGTACCTGTAATATTTGAGGGAACTGGTGCTCCCTGGCTGATTCGACCCCGTGTCACTCTCCCGGGAGCACGAGTTCCCTCAAAGATTACAGGTACACCTTGCTGACGAGCGCCGAGTAGCACGAAACCCGGGTCCAATGGTTCGTGTCGACTACCTAGACTGGTGGCCACATTGCAACATGATCTATAGCATTCGATCTGCACTAATATAAGAACTAGACACGCATGACATTGGTCACCAACCAGTGATCAATCAATTGTGATCCATAAACTTTATCTGGTACTGAAGCCTGTCTTCTCTTATAGCCTTCGTGCATATGTTCCTTTTATGTTTGCATTGCCTGTACGCGCTGTTGTTGTCAGTTCGTTTGTATTCTGCCCTACAGTGTCTTTTGCGGTTTAACAAACGAAGAGTGTGGTTCTTGATGAGTTTAGGTTGCTTGTGGCTTTTAGGAACCATTTGAGGAACTGGCTGCTTTGTAGCACATAAGAGTGTATGCAGTAAGAAGTCACAATGAGCATCCACATCAAGTTGAGGGTGAACATCTCAATCCAACTGTTGTAGATAGTCCTGTAGAGCTGATACATTCAACCGTTTGAAATTCCAACGCCTGCTCAGTTTTGCTGACAAAACTGAAGGCTATAACGGTGTGATCGCTTTTACCCAGAAGAGTCAGAATTGAGAGGTTGTCTACTAGAAATTCTTTGTTCGTAAATACACAGTCTAGGCGCGACGGTGTCTGACTGTTCCTCCAACGAGTTGCGGACTTCACATTTTCGTATAATCCCAAATCCTCAATGAGGTTGAAGAACCGAGCTTCAATTGGATCCTCATCTCCAATATATGTATGTTCCGAGAAGTTGACTCTAGGGAGATTGAAGTCCTCTGGAATCAGGATATGAGTGAAACTAAGACGCGTAGAACGGGAAAGTCCTTCCAGCATACGACTGTCATACTCGATGTCAGCAGTCGGCTTCCTATATGTGACTCCGACTAGGAACCTCAAAGTAGTAGACAATCTTACAGAGCACCATATGGACTTCTCAAGATTGTTAAACTCATGATTGTGAACTTGGTATACCTCCAAGCCAGATCGTATGTATAGAGCTACTCCACCCCCAATTCCTGTTTTTCTGTCGTTGCGAAACAAAGACATCCCAGGTATTGCTAGCTCCTGGTCCGAAAACTGAGAAGATATCCAAGTTTCAGATATTCCTGTCAGATGAACCTTATTATCATTGCTAAGTTCACGTGGCTCATCCACTTTGTTTGGTAGACTCGCGGCGTTCATGTATAAGCAGTCAATGCCTTCAATTCGAACCGCGCGAGCTTCTTCCTGTTTGTCTGTATGAGCCTTACGTGAGTGGACAGGTAGCCTACCTATATGAGGTTTGCCGAATTGGTATGCCTTGTCCTTTACACGTATTTTATCTTCAAGACAGTCCACAAGTGGAATGATCAGCTCCAGCTTGTCTTTGTGCTTGATCCTGGCATCATATGGCCTGTCCGGGTGCATGTGGATCCCAGTTGGCAACCGACGTCTGTTAGCACGAAATGCTTCCAGAGCTGCAACCACCATATGGGAGGGTGGGAAAGTTATCTTAATTAGTCGGGGCCTAGAATCACCGTCCTTCTCGGCTAGTCTCGTCACATGCTGAGTCAGTATGTTTTTGAGCCCCAAGGACTGTTTGATGAATTTCCATTTCTGAATGTCAGAGTTTGCTTGACTAGGGTCCGTGTTTTCCAGTACACATTGCACAATTATACTTCTTCCGCGGAAAAACTTCTCGCGAGATTCGTTAGGGATGTTCCGGATGAGATTGCTCTCAGAATACGGTATGTCGGGCAGTATTCTTACGTTCCCATCGGATTTCAGCAACTGACTAGATAGCAGAGTATCCTCTACGTCGATATCATTGTTAAGCGTTACACGAAGTAGCCTCGGGTGATTTTGATGCCTAGATTCCTATCTCCGAGTGACCGTCAAAGGCCCTATTCTAGGAAGCTCAAGCTTCTTGTTCATTTTACCTCAGAGCATCCTGTCATTTTTGTCCTGCAAACTGAGAGGAAGGTCAGGGTTGTCTTTGAGGTTCATGATTATGAGAGTGTCATCACGAACCGTTATTGTTTTCCCAGGTTTTCCGGTGAGTTCAGGTTCAGCACGTTGTTGTTTGGAGGTCGAAGCACGTTTCTGAATCCTAGGCTTTCTGATAACCGGGCGGACATTTTTTGGGGGTAGACTGAGCGATCAAATCACCAGTTGTTTTCCGTTCAACACTTGTGATGTTCAGCTTGGACGGTGACTCCTGGTTCTTCCTAGCTCTGTTGATGTAGGCCCAATCACATGCAGAGTTTTTGGGAACCGCTGTTGCGTTTAGGGACCATGAGCTGGGAGGCCCGAGTTTACTGAGAGAGTTTATTACCGTTGACGTGATGATGGTGCTGAGTTTCAACATGTCATCATTATTGCCAATGCATGCTCCATCGATGGTAGACCTATTGACATTCCTATTCTTGTTTCCATTACGTG